AGGGAATTTGAACTGTACATGTGGCAGTTAGTCCACTTCCTAAAGCATTGAGCAAAAGATTTTGAGCCAAAATGTTATATAAGCAGGGTCCTAACTCATAATCTGCCCAGGCTGACATAGCAGTAAAAAAAGCAGAACACAAAGTATTCACCAGCGAATTTCCCATGTTTTCCTTTGGACAGTTTTAAAGAAGATATGTTCATTAATGTTCAGTAGATCATGTATGGGTTTTTTGGGTTCTCTTCCAGGGTAATTTGACCTCATTAATGTATTCAAGTACATGAATGGGAAGTGGCAGGATAATGGGGCCAGATTCTTCTCACTTGTGGAAACCAATAAAACAAGAGGCAACAGGCAAAAACTGATACACAAGAAGTTCTACCTGAATACAAGGAAGTTCCTTTACTGTGTGAGTCACTGAGCACTGAACAGATTGCCCAGAAAGGTCATGGATTCTCCCTCACTGGAGATATTCAAGAACTGTCTGGACACAATCCTGAGCCATGTGCTCTAGGGTGGCCCTGCTGGAGCAGGGAGGTTGGACCAGATGACCCACTGTGGTCCCTTCCAACCTAACTGATTCTGTGATTCTGGAAGGCCTGAGAAGACATGACCAGTTTTAAAGTGATGTCAACATCTTGTGTGAAGCAACTGCCATGTTCTTGGAAGAGCAAGACAGATGCAAGTTCTAGTGGGAGCATAAAATAGAAACAAGCCAACTGCATAGAAGGCAGTCAGTGAAAGACAGCCAATAGGTCTTTGGAGTACTTAATTAAGGGAAACTGTCATCAGATAAAAGGAAGAAGGAGAACCAAGATGTATAAGCAGAAATCTTCCTGAAAACTAAAAACAGTGCTGGGGGAAGGAATGGACCACACTACCAATGTGTAGGATAGCTCCAGGAGCTGGTCTGATCTTAAGAAAAAAAACCAACAAACAAGCAATCAGTGAGAGCAAAGCCCAGAAGGAAAATGGTGAGGACAGCCTTATTGTTTCCAGGGAGCACAAAACAAAAATTCACATTGCTTTTGATGATGAAAGTTTGAACTTGAATGAGGAGAAATGATCCAATATGCCTGATAATGCCTACAAAACTAGCACCATTAACATAGGCAATTGTCAACATACCTCTAAGAGCTGGCTCAGAGCAGCGATGGAACTCAGCTCACTGAAGTCCATAAGAGATGTGGCCAAGGTGCGTAAAAAACTTCCATCTGAAATTCAAACAACATTTTTGCTTTGGCTGTTCATGCAGAGGAAACAAAGGGTCAGAACTGTGCACATGTATCACACATTACCTTTAATAATGCTCTGGAAGAGCTGAGGGAAGATGCCATTGGGAGCCAACTGATGGAAAACACAACGGAGGAACTGCTTGGCCACACCTGCAGCATTTCCAGGGATCATCATGCTGAAAGGAAGGGAAGGGAAAAGAGGAAGAAAAATCTGCATTACAGATGAAACATTTCTCAAGGCTGACTACATGGAGGAAATAAAGATGATATAATGCTCTGGAAGAGCTGAGGGAAGATGCCATTGGGAGCCAACTGATGGAAAACACAACGGAGGAACTGCTTGGCCACACCTGCAGCATTTCCAGGGATCATCATGCTGAAAGGAAGGGAAGGGAAAAGAGGAAGAAAAATCTGCATTACAGATGAAACATTTCTCAAGGCTGACTACATGGAGGAAATAAAGATGATACTTTTTAATCTGCATTACAGATGAAACATTTCTCGAGGCTGACTACACGGAGGAAATAAAGATGATGTTATTCTTTTTAACTATGGAAGTGTTCAGCTATGTGTGAGACAGTCACAAGCAGAACTGTCCTGACATCAAAAAAAAGTTTAGTATGTTGATTTTATGACTTCAGCTCAACTATGAAGAGCTTAAAAGGTTATGTACACATACCTAAAGTACTTGTCTCAATAAATAGTTGCATTTTTCCAGATTCTCCATGTAGTTTAATTTGTGAGACATCTGAGTTTGAAATATAACCCTGCTCTCATCTTTTGTATTTCAGTGACACAGGATAAGGTTCTTGGCTTTACCATAAAACACATGAACAATAGGTAAACATAAACATTATAATATTCATTTGCCTCTTGCAGTTTCCTTCAAGAGATGAAGTACTTCCTAATCACTTATAAACGAATGATGTTCTTTAAAAAGCTAAAGCATCATCTATTTACTCATAAACTGCACATTTTAGCATGCTCTAGGGCTTCTCAAAATGAATTAATCCTATTCAGCATCTGATTTACATAATGAGACATTACTACCAGGGATTCTCCATGGCCAAGGATGACTCACTTGATTGAACATATGGAGATAGTTTATCAAGACAAATACTGAACACAGAACAAGCAAGAAAAAGCTGCACTGAAATTGTGAAAACCAGACAGCATCTTTTAATTCTGTCTGAATTGGAGCATTTTTCAAGTTTAATACATATGAATATTTATTCCTGTTCATCTTCAGAACACATGAGATCTTTGAAACAAGTGGGAAAAGGCAGTTTCTTCCTTTTATTCACAAATGTTAAATAAAACTTTTTAGAAGTTAAATTTAATTGATTTCAGGGCCAGGGAGGATGGTGCTTTAGATTAATTGTTTCATTTTCGTCAAGGTGTCCTTTGCTGCCATACCTTTCTGCTTGACTAGAAAAACTGGTACTTGATGCCAACCTGGAATAAAAATAAAAAAGTATGCTTTTTATTGTGTTTCATTTTTAAGAACACCAAGAAAACATCATTTTAAATAAACAATAAACAAGAATTAGAGAAAACATTTAAAGTGCAACCAGAAATATCTTCTGAATACCACTGAAATTCAGTTAAAACATGACATATAAGCACTATTCAGTCTTGCAGTCTCACTAATACTTAACAGCTCTAAAGACAAACCTACTTGCCTCCCTCTACTAGCATAAAGATAATGAAGTCAAGTTATTTCCTTGCATGCACATCATAGATGATTACTAGGGGTTTTTAGAGGGAAAAAAAAGTTTGCCAGATGCTGCCTACTGACTGAATTGTTTCTGATTCACACAGCAACACAGACAAAGCCAAAATTCTCTGCTTGGCAGCCTGAAGTGAGGCTTCTAGTTCCAGACTTTGGCACCTAAATAACTGGCCTAATTTCAGAAACACTAAGTACCTATGAGCTCTTACAAAGTCAGATGAGAAATATTGTGTTCTCAAAAATCAGGTCATTTATTTTAGTACCTAAATATAGACTTTAAAGCCAAATAGGGGCATTCAGTGATGAAAATACTGAACACAATCTTAAAGTCAAATCATGCACTTCAGTGTGCAGGACATGTAAATGAATAGAATCAGGGCTTACAGTAGCAAAGCAACACACCTTAAATACTAAAGCCACCAAAAAGCAGTTATAAAGATGTACACTAGAAGCATCTCTTACATACAAAATACCATACAATTTGTACTTTAACCTGCTGCACATCAATATTTCAGATAGCATAAGTTGATATATTAAGCAGAAAGTTCACAGAGCTACACGGGTTTACATCTGCTGATGATCTGGCCGTCAATGTTTATCTTTGATTCATGATCCTTTTAGGCTGGACTTAGCTGTTGCTCATCCTTGATCAGCCTCTGTTCTGAAGACAGGTTCCTCTCTAATCACCACTGCAAAATCCAACAAGGACCCTACCGCAGCTCGGTTGAATGCAACAGTGTAAACCAAAATGGATGGTGAATTTCATTAGATATGCATGCCAAGCTGGGCACACAGCATCCTTTCAACAGTGCAATAATCTCAAACTGGATGGTGTGGGGGATTGAAGATTATATTCCCTTCAATTGCTCTAGCATAAATCAGAAAAACACAATAGAGTTCCTAACTCCACCATTGTTAAGAGGAATTCACACTAAAATACAACATAGTAATTCTGGTGTGCAAAGCTAGTTCTGGGTGAAAAGGTCTGAAGCTACCTTCAAGCAACACAGACCTGTAGCACTGGTTTACATTAAAGCACATGGGGATTTCTGCAATATGCAATGAGACTAATCACGTGGCCAATGGACATTATACTTATTTTCAACAATCTACTAACATACAGAAATACAACAACATAGAATCTTTCTTCTAAAAGAAATCAAAGTCCAATGTTTTTCTCTCCTTTGGAATGTGATAATGCAAGCATGTTTTTACGGACAAAACATTTGGCTTCTAACTTTGGAAAAGCTTCATGGGGCATGAACTACACTAAACACTTAGGAACATCTGAAACTTTTTGAAACCAACAACTTG